CAGCCTTTGAACTTCTTCGCGATCCACTACTGCCAGTTCGTGGACACGGTCTAATTGAAATAAGCCGTCTTCTGGAGAGTCGGGATCCGGCTGTTCGCGGGTTTGAGGACAAAATTTATGAGGTTCGACAACATCAATGTATGCGTAATGATTAACCATAGTTTATTTGACGGCACGTTTTGTGTTAGTGGATACAATCCTATTCACGCCTTATCAGGTTTTGGTCAAACAGTTGGATGAAGATGACAGCTACCTCTACTTAAATGCAGTCCGTGGGCTTTCGGGCCTAGGTAATGCATTTACGGATCGTCTGCTTCCATTGCTGCTAAGTCATTTTCACTCGTCCAAGCCTGCAGCTCCGCGTATTGAATTTCGTCTGAAGATAGGTGAAGCCATTGTTCGTGTGTTGAGAGACCTAGGTACGACCCTTCCCTAATTTTCCATACTAATATGGTTCATACAAAATGTCTACTAAAATGTATTAAGTAGCATGGCTTTAGTTTGACTTTATTGAGACGACGTGTTGTTTTTCATTGGTATACTTCAAGGTCAAATGGCGGCAAAGTACAGAGATTTGGTTATGTCTGGTCTGCTTAAGGCATCGTCCGACCCAGATGAATACATTCGCGCCGCCAGTCTTTCAAACATGGCTGAAATCGCTTGTCTTCTGCGTCACAGCATTCAACCAGTCGTTTACGAAGTAAGTGCGCTATTGACAGCCTTCTTCCCCATAGAATCAGCCATTTTTTCCGTAGGATTTCATAACCTGCCGAAAAGTGTATTAATAACTTATCTCCCTCGTTCGTCTATCCAGATATACGGCGTACTGGAGAAGCACTTGAAGCATGACCCGTCCCCTTGTGTACGCAAGTCGGCTGCCTTCCTTGCAACACGGGGTCTCTTTCAGGGGGCACCGGGGGATCCGCTGCCCTCCTTCCTCCCTGCGGATGTACTGCGTGACGTTAACCGCCTGCTCTCCGACCAATCGCGTGTTGAGAGGGATCCCAGTGTCCTAGAACAGATTGAAGCAGCACTGGGCCAGTTGCATGCGCGAACGCAGTCCAGCATATTTCTCAAACCGGACAGCGCGGACT